CAGTGTTCCTTCCCAGAATAAGGAAACTCCCAGCAATTTGTCCCGAATGCACTTTATTAGAGATCTAGGATCGTCTGCACGCCCCACCTTTCTTCAAAATACCTATCCTATTTCACCTGGTCATGCCCAGCATTTTTTAACAATTTTAATTATTACACCTGGCCCTCCCATAGGTTCTTTTAATGCGTCGTGGTGTTATGTTTACTGCTTGTTTATGAGTTTATTTACTGTTGTTGTTGTTGTTGTTGTTTTACTAATGTATTTGGGCTTGGCCTCTTGTAAGCCGCACCGAGTCCTTCGGGAGATGGTAGCGGGGTACAAATAAAGGATTATTATTATTATTATTATTATTATTATTATGTTTTGGGGCGAAAGGACTTTGCCACTCAGTTGTCCCCGTTGTGCTGTTTTTGAGAACCAAGATGCAAAACCCCGTTCAAAACATATCCACTCGAAATGCGTGGAGCTGAGCAGTGTTTCCCAGTAGAAACCATTTCGGGTCGGTGCGTTGGCATCCAGTGTGCCGTACCAGGCGGAAAGTCTGCTTTGTGTTGTTGAGAGACTACGGAGTGAAGCCGCGCGCCCCAAGCAAGAAGCATCCGACTCCATTGAGTTAAGTGCCTGCACATCCCAGATTGCGATGCCGTTCTTGTATGCCTCCAATCAAGGGAAGGCTTCTGCCATTAATTGCTTTAATAGATGAATCAAACCAAGCTCGTTTTATTGGCTGCAAGAGTCAGCCAAAGGTATGCCCTTTCTGCGGAGGACGATCTCTCTGTTCAGTGCGTTCGAATACAAAGAGTAGGCATGCCATTGCCTTTTAACAATGTATTTTAAAATCCCCAGTTCTGTCTCTCCCACATTTCCTTGATTATGCCGAACAAAGGCTCTTATACCGAGATTCTGATACTGAATGCAAAGTGATTTTAATTAAATCGGCTGAGGTGTGACTGTTGATCTGGAACGGAGGTTCCCAGACGGTGTTTCCGCAGAAGCCCAGGGTTCCACAAAAGAATTGTCGGGGTTCTGCAACAAAATCATTACATTTTGTGTATATACTAGCCGTCCCCTGCCACACATTGCTGTGGCCCACATGGGGGTTTTGTTTGGGAGATTTGGCCCAATTCCATCGTTGGTGGGGTTCAGAATGCTCTGTGATTGTAGGTGAACTATAAATCCCAGCAAGTACAACTCCCAAATGTCAGGATTCTATTTTCCCCAAAATCTGGGCATATTGAGTATTCACGTAGAGCAGTGTTTCTCAACATGGGGGTCAGGGCCCCTGAGGGGGTCGTGAGGGGGTGTCAAAGGGGTCGCCAAAGACCATCAGAAAACATAGTATTTTCTGTTGGTCATTGGGATTCTGTGTGGGAAGTTTGACCCAATTCTATTATTGGTCGAGTACAGAATGCTTTTTGTAGGTGAGCTATAAATCCCAACAACTACAACTCCCAAATGCCAAGGTCTATTTTCCCCAGACTCCACCGGTGTTCACATTTGGGCATATTGAGTATTTGTGCCAAGTTTGGTCCAGATCCATCATTGCATGAATCCACAGCACTCTTCTGGATATAGGTGAACTACAACTCCCAAACTCAAGGTCAATGCCCACGAAACCCTTCCAGTGTTTTCTCTTGGTCATGGGAATTCTGTGTGCCAAGTTTGGTTCAATTCCATTGTTGGTGGAGTTCAGAATGCTCTTTGATTGTAGGTGAACTATAAATCCCAGCAACTACAACTCCCAAATTACAAAATCAATCCTCCCCCCAACCCCACTAGCATTCACATTTGGGCATATTGGGTATTTGTACCAAATTTGGTCCAGTGAGTGAAAATCCATACTGCATATCAGATATTTACATTATAATTTATGACAGTAGTAAAATGACAAGTATCAAGTAGCAACGAAAACAATATTATGGTTGGGGGGTCACCACAACATAAAGAACTGCATTAAGGGGTCACGGCATTAGCAAGGTTGAGAACCACTGGTGTAGGGTTTGGTCCAGATCCATTATTGTTTGAGTCCACAGTGATCTCTGGATGTAGGTGAACTACAACTCCAAAACCAAAGGACACTGCCCACCAAACCCTTCCAGTATTTTCTATTGGTCGTGGGAGACCTGTGTGCCAAGTTTGGTTCAATTCCATCGTTGGTGGGGTTCAGAATGCTCTTTGATTATAGGTGAACTATAAATCCCAGCAACTACAACTCCCACATGTCAAGAACATTACATTTTTATTTATATAGACTAGCTGGCCAACCTTCTCTCCCTCTTTCTCTCCTTCCTTCCCTCCTTCCTTCCTTCCTTCCTTCCTTCCTTCCTTCCTTCCTTCTCTTCCTCTTCACTCCCCTTTCTTCCTTCTCTAACTATTCTTGGATTGCAGCTCCCAGCAGTCCTCCTGATCCATCCATCTACCTACCTACCTACCTATCTCTATTTAATCTATCTATCTGGAGGTTTGCTGGGAGTTGCAATCCAGGAATAGGAAATTGGAAATGTGCGCGGATTGGGATGCTCTCAAAGAAATCCTAGGAGAAGAAAGCTTGCATCTTGGAAACAGTGCATTTGTACCATCCTCTTCTCCTAAAGAGCCTGGTCTAGTGGATGCTGGGAGATGTAGTCTGGAAGACAGTGTGGATATGCTATTGTGTGTTTTGTTTGCCAGGGGGAGTCATTTTTGCGCATGTGCTCTAGCATCTTTTGGGTTTTTAATTTTTTTTTTGCTTTTTAAGTCCCTTTCATTGTGTTTTTTCATTGTTTTTATGAGTGAAGGTCACTCATTGGCATGATTGGTGTATAGTGTCCAAATTTGGTGTCAATTCGTCAAGTGGTTTTTGAGTTATATTAATCCCACAAACGAACATTACATTTTTATTTATATAAATATAAAAAAACACTTTTTACAAGTTTGTGCCAGAATGTGAAAATCTGTCTTGGGGCTGAGCAACAAGGTGCCGGGAGTGAGGGTCTCTCATAAGACAAGGGCGATGATGGCTTTCCCACTGAGGAGTCTGTATATGATCAGGGTGATTAGCAATTGCTAGCCTTAGAGCAGAGAGAAGTTCAGACAGTTGAACAGGAGTCAGAGGTTGTTTTGGCTTCCAGGGAAAAGGCCGTTTCTCATGGGAATTGGCCTTCAGAAGATTCAGCAGAGGATGAGGTTTCCTGCGATATCAGATTGGGCCTCCACATGGAAGGAGTGAAAATAAATGAAGGCATTCAGAAAGACTCTGAGATGTCCTTGAAGAAACCCAGGTGTCATAGATATGACCTCATGGCTTCTTGGTTGGGTTTGTGCTTAAATTAAGTGATGTTTACCTGGTATCTCCAGAGCAGACAACGTTGCCATAGAATCAAGTTCATGCTCAGCTCTCAAGTTTGCCCATAAAAGATTTTTCTTGGAAAAGTTCCTGTTTTCATTCTTATGTTCTGGATTTTCTGCAGGGCAGTAGAATGTGGTAGGCGCATTCTACTTCCTGTTCTTTACATGGGCAGGGTCTTTCATTATATGAAGTACCTGCAAATCTCCCACACAGCAATTCAGACAGGAGCACATTACACCTTGCTTTGGGAAATAGGCAGCGGTATTTGGCCACAGTCAAGTTCTTTAGATAGTTTTGCTGCACGGAAAGGCCCAACACAATGTATGGACAGGGCACTCGGGGAGCAAGATACATAAGACCAAGAGCGCCGCTCACAAAAGGCAATGTCCCACCATCTCCGTCTGATTGATTTGAGAGCCATGTTAAAACGCAGATGAGTGAGGAGGGATGCGGAAAGGCCGATGGAGGAGGCTCTCTTAGAATTGATCTTAAACCAAATGAAGTTTTGTTGTTGTTATTATTGTCGAAGGCTTTCATGGACGGAATCACTGGGTTGTTGTAGGTTTTTCCGGGTTATATGGCCATGTTCTACAGGCATTTTCTCCTGATGTTTTGCCTGCATCTATGGCAAGCATCCTCTGAGGATCCTCACTACCTCTGAGGGTGCTTGCCATAGATGCAGGCGAAACATCAGGAGAAAATGCCTCTAGAACATGGCCATATAACCCAGAAAAACCTACAACAAACCATTATTATTATTATTATTATTATTATTATTATTATTATTATTATTATTATGTAAAGCTGCTTTGAGTCTCCTGTGGGAAAGATAAAGCCGGGTATAAATACATATAATACATATATGACGATGGAACTGGACATTGACTGGACATTGCTTGACAATAAGGAGACGCCAATGATGTTGTTTTAATTGCTGTTGTAGTTTATGTAATTGTAATGTTTTAATTGTTTTATGATACTATGTATACTGTTTTGTTGGAAACCGCCTTGAGTCGCCAATAGGCTGAGTAAGACGGTATACAAATACAATAAATAAATAAATATAATAAGAATATTTATTTATTTATTTAGAATATATATATAATTTTTAAAATAAAGTTTTAGAAAAAATGTTTATAATTTTTTAAATATAAAATTTTAGATTTTTTTCATTAATTTTTTTTAATAATAATACACCCTAGACACTTGTCTGACGTGTGATCCAATACAACTACCAGCAGAGTGTCTGCTGTGGACGCATCTTGTGTTTCTAATAATAATAATAATTATTATTATTAATAATAATACAACATCACAGAGTGCTAGACACTTGGGAAGGGTCCGACGTGTGATCCAACACAACAGCAAGCAGAGTGTCTGCTGTGGACGCATCTTGTGGTGTTTCAAATAATAATAATAATAATAATAATAATAATAATAATAATAATAATAATAATAATACGTCACACAGTCCTAGACATTTGGGAAGCGTCCAACATGTGTCTGCTGTGGACTCATCTTGTTGTGTTTCAAATAATAATAATTTTCTCTGTGTTTCTACAAATACTTTAAAAATATTGGAGAAAAGAGAACGGCACCTTGAAATCTAAAAGGGCCAGGGGAGCAATAGGGAGGAGACCCCATAATGACGCTTCCCATCGATCTCTTTTAGACGACGACGAGCACGAGTGGATCGTCCGGACCTGCCGCAAAGGCTGGGACGAGTTCATTGGCTTCAAGGCCAAGGGGGGAGCGGCGGCGCTGCTTGAGGAAGGCGAAGAGAAGAAAGAAGAGAAGGAGACTTTCCCCTGAAGCCTTTCCCCACTTCGCTTCCCTTCGTGGGGGCCCCCGCACCTATAATTTCTCCATTAAGGTAGTTTTTGTTACCTTTCCCGAGCAAAATAAAGCGTAGAGCCGCACTTCATCATCAGCCGTCGCCGCCGCGCCTCGAGAGGGAATTGTGCCGCTAATCACCCTGCACTTTACTGTAATACATTCCCGTGAGGTACGCGAGCCGACGAGAAGGGCTTTTTATTATATCTGCCTCCCAGGCACACAAAGAATTAGCTCAAAAGGCCCTGCCGCATTGTGCGCCCGCCACACGGAACACCCACAAACCGCAGTGCATCCTTCCCCCGTTGCGCGAGGATTAATTGCCGGTTGTAACGGTGAGCTCGGGAGCGCGGCGTCAGGGTTCCGTCGCGGAATAGCAAGAAGAACAGCATTGTCCCCTCGTTCGTTTATATTGAGGGGTATAGATAAGCGCCAGCACTTTAGACTGCGATAACTTTATTTATTACACAAATAAGACGTTTACAAAGCACGGGTAACAAAAACAAAAAACCAAAACAAAACCAGACGTTGGGTCTTAGAAAGTGCTTTACATTTTGCACCCAGTCACCCCTCTCTCTCTCTCTCTCGCTCTCATTCTCTCTTTCAATCTCTCTCATTATCCTTATTTAAAATAAATATCCACTCTTCAGAAAGGTATAGTTTGCGCCGCTGTGGCCAAGGACATGCACAATCGCAACACGCGACAAACAAAACATCGGCTCTTTCCCTTCCGCCTTTCCCCCGGCCGTGAAAGCGATCTGCAGCCTTTCTTGGCAAGGCCTCGTCCCAGTTTCCCCTCGTGGTCTCTGTGATTTGCACATATGTGATTTGCAGCCCTGTAACCCAGATCGTCCCTCGGTCGCTAGCCCTTCTCGTTCTGGAGCGTGACACCAACCCAGATTGTATTTGAACGCACAGGGAGAGTGGGGAGACAGAGCATTTCCCACATACACAACAATCTCCCCATTGCAGAACTCAAACCAGATCCAATATTTTTGCACGACTTGTCCCGTCGGGGTCGCAGATCCACTGCAGGCAACTCAAGCAGATTTGGAAGCCATTGTTAATTTCTGTACGACTCCGACAAATTCCACTCCAGGGATAATAATAAACTGAGATTTTGAACTCAAAACAAAAATAGAACCAGACCTATTCTTGTTGTTGTGAGTTCTGTGCCTCGTAACAAACTACAGTTGTGACTCTATTTCTGGCATGGACAAACCTCAGCCCTCCAGGTGTTTTGGACTCCCACAATTCCCACAATTCCTGGACTCCCACAATTCCAACTCCCACAATTCCTGGCCTCAGGCCCCTTCCATGTGCCTCACATTCTCTGGATTCAAACCACAGAAGGATTGGGCTACAGCTGTTACCAGCACTATAGCCCCCAATGCACTCATTCGGAGCATGTGCGGTTCAGCATTTGGGATCTCAAGTCAGGCGTCCAACATATAGCAAAGCATGTTCTCTTGACCTGAGTCCTGATGATCCCCTCACTTCTTTTCTTTCCCTAGAATTGGGTTAATAAGTGTATGGGGTGGCTTGAGGACAACCCCAGGGGGCTTGTTCTTCTTCGTATTTGGGTTTCAGGGCTGCAAACTCTTGCCTATTGGAGCCTATAGACCAGGCATGGGCCAAGTTCAGCCCTCCCTCCAGGTGTTTTGGACTCCAATTCCCACCATTCCTAACAGCCTCAGGGTCTGAGGTTTCATCCTCTTGGAACTGGACCCTTCAGTAAATCAAGGGGTCATCTGCATACCCACATTGTGCGAGCTGGAGTCCGAAACACCCCAAGGTAGGACCCAACTTGGTCCAGGCCTTTGTCAGCTTGGAACTGGACATTTCAATCCATCAAGGGGTCATCTGCATACCCACGTTGTGGGAGCCGAAGTCCAAAACACCCCAAGGTAGAACCCAAATTGGTCCAGGCTGTTGTCCTCTTGGAGCTGGACATTTCAATCAATCAAGGGGTCATCTGCATACCCACATTGTGGGAGTTGGAGTCTGAAACACCTGGAGGGAGGGCCCAAGTTGGCTCATGCTTGGTGTAGACAGAAAGGAGGCACAAGACCCTCTTGAGTCAAAAAGTGTTTGATAAACAATGCTCCCTACTCCCGATTGTACTGGATGGGATCGGAGAAGAAAGGGTTTCGCTCCCGGTCTTCATAGGAAGGCAGAAGAGATTTAACCAATGGACTGATTTCAGGGCTTAGGCCGCTCAGTTTCTTTCTGTGATAGGGTCAAGTAGGGTCAAGGGTGACCTCTCCTTGGCTTGACCTTTACAAGACCCCCCTCCCTTCCTTCCTTCCTTCCTTCCTTCCTTCCTTCCTTCCTTCCTTCCTTCCTTCCTTCCTTCCTTCCTTCCTTCCTTCCTTCCTTCCTTCCTTCCTTCCTTCCTTCCTTCCTTCCTTCCTTCCTTCCTTCCTTCCTTGGGGCTAGTAGGTTGTGTTGTTGCTTGCCACTTGTTGTCTTTGCTCGCCGAACACAACAACCAGGGATTGGAGAGACGGCAGTCACAAAGGCCAAAGTTCCAGGTGCTGGTCAAGTCGGTTGGAAGAAGGGGCCGGGCTCTCCAGGCCGCCAGGACAGTGGCCAAAGAGCAGCAGCATCACCACCCACACAATCTCCCAGAGGTCAAGAGGAGCACAGGCGGTCAGTACTGGAAGAGGATGACCTGTCAAGAAGGAAAACAAAGCAAAGCAAGAGAGGAAGTCTGTGCTATCCTTCATCCCTTGCTCAAAACCCACCTTTCCTAAGACTTGGGAAAGAAGTGATGCCAGGACTGTGGGATATATAGAGTGTCCTGGACCTCTCTTTTCTCACAATGGCCAACCGGACACCTCTTCCCACAGCTCAGGTGGGCCCCAGGCCCCTCCTGCCCATGTTCTCCAGGCCCCTGTCTCTACAAATGCTTTGGATCCCATTCTGGGCAGGGCAAAAGCAGGCAGCCAGGGCCTCTGCTTGTGCAAAACAACCATTACCTTCTCCCCCCGGCTGGCGAGGGGTCCTTCCATGTCAGCTTTGAGGTGCACAGGCGGGGCGGCGTAGGGGAGGCGGCAGTGCATTTGTCCACACTGTACCTGGCCTGCAAAGGAGGAGGCAGCGTTAGCCCCAAATCTATCAACTCCGGAGCCTTGGTCGACCACAGGCTGGGTGTGAGCCGACACTGTGATGCGGCAGCTCAAAAAGCCACTGCGAATCTAGACCGCATCCATAGGAGGAGAGTGCCTAGATCAGGCAGAGGGAAACTTGGCCCCTCCAGGTGTTTTGGACTTGGGTCCAATGCTTACTTTCTATGTAGCTGTGGAGGGTGACCATCCTGGCCCTTTCGGGGTTGCTGAAGGGGGAGAAGTGGAGGTCCTCCGGGAGCACCGAGGGCAGGCGGGGCTGGGGCCCTCCCGAGGCCGGCACCGGGTGCTGCGGCGTGTGCTTTTTATGCCGCGCACGGCAGTTCTGAAACCAAACCTGCAAGACAGACGTCCCCACCGCAGTGAAAAAGGGGTCCACTTTATACAAATAAAAGAAAGGAGCGTATGTACAGCCAGTGTTGCCTGGGTTTGCATCCTCTTTCTGGCTCTTTCTTTCCTTCCTCCATTCCCCTCATGCACCTTTTCCCTCTCCTTCCTTCCTTCCTTCCTTCCTTCCTTCCTTCCTTCCTTCCTTCCTTCCTTCCTTCCTTCTTCTTTCCCTCTCTGTCTCTCCTCTTCTCTTCCTTCCTCTCCTGTCTTCCTTCCCTCCATTCATATCCTCTCTTCCTCTCTTTCCTTCTTCCTTCCTGTCTTCCTTTCTTTCCTTCCTTCTTCCTTCCATTCCTTCCTTTTTCTTCCCTTCCCTTCAGCGGGTTCCCTCATACAACCTGCTCCTCTTACTCCCATCTTCTTTCTTTCCCTCTCTCCCTTTCTCCTTCCTTCCTTCCTTCCCTCCCTTCCCTTCTCTCTCCTTCCTTCCTTCCTTCCTTCCTTCCTTCCTTCCTTCCTTCCTTCCTTCCTTCTTCCCTCCCTTCCTTGGTTTCCCTCATACAACTGCTCCTCCTCTCCTTCCTTCTTTCCCTCCCTCCCTCCTGCCTTCCTTCTTTCTTTCCTTTATGCTTGCTTTTCCTCATACAACTCCTCCCTCTCTCCTTCCTTCCTTCCTTCCTTCCTTCCTTCCTTCTTCCTCGGTTTCCCTCATACAACTGCTCCTCCTTCTTTCTTCTCTTCCTTCCCTTCCTTCCTCTTCCTTCCTCCTCTTCCTTCTTTCCCTCCCTCCCCTCCTTCCTTCTTTCTTTCTTCTTTCTTCTCTTTCCTTTATCTTTTTTCTCTTCACCTCTCCTCCCTCCCTCCTTCCTTCCTTCCTTCCTTCCTTCCTTCCTTCCTTGGTTCCCCTCATACAACTCCTCCCTCTCTCCTTCCTTCCTTCCTTCCTTCCTTCCTTCCTTCCTTCCTTCTTCCCTCCCTTCCTTGGTTTCCCTCATACAACTGCTCCTCCTCTCCTTCCTTCTTTCCCTCCCTCCCTCCTGCCTTCCTTCTTTCTTTCCTTTATGCTTGCTTTTCCTCATACAACTCCTCCCTCTCTCCTTCCTTCTCTTCCTTCCTTCCTTCCTTCCTTCCTTCCTTCCTTCTTCTCGGTTTCCCTCATACAACTGCTTCCTCCTTCTTCCTCCTTCTTCCTTTCCTTCCTTCTTCCTTCCTTCTTTCCCCCTCCTTCTTTCTTTCTTTCTTTCTTTCTTTCCTTTATGCTTGCATTTCCTCATACAACTCCTCCCTCTCTCCTTCCTTCCTTCCTTCCTTCCTTCCTTCCTTTCCTTCCCTCCTCTCTCTCTCCTTCCTTCCTTCCTTCCTTCCTTCCTTCCTTCCTTCCTTCCTTCCTTCTTCCCTCCCTTCCTTGGTTTCCCTCATACAACTGCTCCTCCTCTCCTTCCTTCTTTCCCTCCCTCCCTCCTGCCTTCCTTCTTTCTTTCCTTTATGCTTGCTTTTCCTCATACAACTCCTCCCTCTCTCCTTCCTTCCTTCCTTCCTTCCTTCCTTCCTTCCTTCCTTCCTTCCTTCCTTCCTTCCTTGGTTCCCCTCATACAACTCCTCCCTCTCTCCTTCCTTCCTTCCTTCCTTCCTTCCTTCCTTCCTTCCTTCCTTCCTTCTTCCCTCCCTTCCTTGGTTTCCCTCATACAACTGCTCCTCCTCTCCTTCCTTCTTTCCCTCCCTCCCTCCTGCCTTCCTTCTTTCTTTCCTTTATGCTTGCTTTTCCTCATACAACTCCTCCCTCTCTCCTTCCTTCCTTCCTTCCTTCCTTCCTTCCTTCCTTCCTTCCTTCTTCCTTCCTTCCTTCTCCTCTCCTCTCCTCTCTCCTTCCTTCCTTCCCTCCCTCCCTCCCTCCTTGTTTCTTTCTTCCCTTCCTTCCTTGATTTTCCTCATACAACTGCTCCTCCTCTCCTTCCTTCCTTCCTTGCTTTCCCTCATACAACTCCTCCTTCTCCTCCTCCTCCCCTTTCCTTCCTTCCTTGCCCCCCTTATACAACTCTCTCTCCTTCCTCCCTCCCTCGCTTTCCCCATACACCTCCCCCTTTTCTATCCTTCGTCCTCCTCCATCTCTCCTTCTTTTTTCTTCTTCTCTCCCTTCTGTTGTCCTTTCTTCCTTCCCTTCTTTTCTTTTCCTTTTTTCTTTCCCTTCCCTTCCCTCTCTTCACACCTCTTTGCACATATATAAGCGAGCGTATCCATCAGGAGCCAGCTTGGGTCGAGTGCAGGCCTAACTCTCTAGGAAGCCAGGGTTCAAATCCCCGCTCAGCCATGGAAACCCACCATGGAAATGGATGGAAGTCCCCATTGTCTCAGAAGAAGACCCCAGCAAACCTCCTCCAGGCCAAAAGAACCCTACGGAAGAAGTTGCCCTAACCTGGGCTTGATCTGAATGCCCGTTCTGTCAACGTAGCTCCATCCCTCCAACTGTCCCCCTTTGACACCCACCTCTATGAACAAGGGGGAGGTTTTGCAGAAGGGAAGGGAAGGGCTCCTCACCTGAATGACTCTCCTGCTCAGCCCCGTCATGTCCGCCAGCTTCTGCAGGGTCTGTGCGTCCGGGTTGTTGTCCTGAGCGAACTGGGCTTGCATGACCTGGGGGGAGGGCGACAAGTGTGGCCTCAGCAAGGGAGGGCCCCGTCACCAGCCCAAGGGCCACCTGGGCTCCCTCCCACAATAGCGTACCTGCAGCTGCTCCGCTGTGAAGGAGGTCCGGGCCCTTTTGGCCGGCTTGGGTTGGCTGTCCTGCTCAGACGGGACGGCCCCTTCCAAGGTGATGCCGTTCCCTGAAAAAGACGGAAGGAGGAGAGTGTTGCGCCTTTTCACCACAAATGACACACACACAAACCAGGGAATCCAGTAAATAGAAGTTTATTTAAAGATGAGCATATTCACAAAAAGGGAATCAAGGTTCAAAAGGTTATTTCCAAGAGAGTCGAGAGTTCAAAATCCTTTCCAATACAGTCTCCAGAGTCAGTCTGCAAATATATCCATAAGCGAGATAGCATGAATCTAAGGCAGGCAACCTATGCCACACATGAACTAGAAGCAAGAACAAACTTGAATACATGAATTCCAAGAACATAGGACTAAAAATGTGTTCACCTGAAGACAACTTTGCTCTCACAGAGGATTGTACCAGCAGGAACCACTTTAAAAGGCTCTCATCCCTCCCATAACATCATTCCTCACACACCTGCTCTTCCTCTCCTTATCGCTAAGCCTTTGGGAAAAGCGAGTCTGTCTTTGTTGCCCTGTCTCCGAAATTCCAAGCACCTTGACCTAGGTAAACACTCATCTCCTGCATTTCTCTCAGCCAGCACTTCTGGCAGATTCTCATGAGAACTGATCTCGCTTTCTCTGGCCTCGTGGCATGGCCAGGAGGTTCCAAAACAACTCTCTCTTCTGGACTCTCCAAATCTATCCCAGCATCCCCTTCTTCATCTTCTGAGCGCTCAGAATCTGACCAGGCTACAACAGAGAGGGACATGTCTGGGGTCAAAGAGTCTTGGAGTTGGAAGGGCCTCAAGGGTCACCTCGTCCAATTTGAATCCATGGAAGGAAACACAAATTCCCGAAAGGTGCCTGCCCATCCAACATCTGTTTTGAAGCCTCCAAAGATGGGGAGTTCAGTGCCTTCTGAGAAGGTTTGGTTCTCTAGAATTGGAAAGGGGTTCTCAAGAGCCATTTGGTCCAACCTCCTCCTTGTTGGATCATTGGTGGCCAATGACAGATCCACCGAATAGTAGCATTGCCTTGCAGAAGCTTGCAGCGGTTTGCTTTTGCCTGAGCTGGCTGGGATGAGCCCTGTTCTCCTCTCCTGTCCTTTGGAACTCAGTTTGCCACAAAAAGAGGAGGAAGGAGGAAAATGGGAAGAGGCAGAAGGGAAACCAGGTCACTGTAGAACAGGTATGGGCCAAATTGGGCCCTTCCTCCAGGTGTTTTGGACTTCAACTCCCACGATTCCTACCAGCGAATGGGCAGCTCTGGGCACAAGGGAGAATTGCTCCACGGCTGGGCTCTGTTTACAGGCAAGTCTTTGGGACGTGATTATCTTGGCCCAAGTTGAAGGAATTCCACACGCACATCCCTCGACCGCCCTTTTTAATTTTTCTTTCCTTGTTTAACAATCCGGCTCTCGTTGCTGTCGGATGATTAATGAGATTCAGCCTCGGTGCCATCTGTTTATTTTCCCTTCTCTCCGAAAACCCAGCCGAAAGCGCTTTGCGAATCCCCGGAGGAAGCGTCATGCGTCGGACAGACTCGCCGCTGGGCGTTTTTGGTAGAGAAGAGGGGAAACTTCCTCCGCCTTGGCATCCCATGCCAGGACCCAGACCAGGTGCCACTTAGCCTTTGGCCACCCCATGCCCTTTGGGTTGGACTCCGACCCAGAGGAACGGCCAGTGGAGACTCCCTTTCGGCCAGTTGGGGCAGAGAAACATTTCCACGCTGGTTTCCTACGCGGGGCAGCAGATACCAATGACCGGTCCAAGCCGAACTTGAGCCAAGAATGTGATGCGGCAGCTGAAAAGGCCAATGTGATTCTAGTAGGAGGATAGTGTCCAGATTGAGGGGGAAAGTCATAGTCTGCTTGGGTCAGGCCTCTTCACCTGGAATAACAGCCCTGGGTCCAGTTCTGGGCAAAACAATCCAAGGAGGAGATGGACAGGATGGAAAGTATCTAGAGAAGGTCCTCCGCCACCACCATGATCAAAGACCCTTGGTGGTTTCTTCCACCTGTCGGATTCTGGGGCCACCCCGGTTCAAAGCAGGCCTTCTTGGCAGAAAGAGGAAACCACTCGGTCTCCTGTTTTGGGTTGGTGTGCCCACAGGCCAGGCAGGACTCCTTCGAAGGAGCCTCGTGTGCCCAGCGTTCAAGTCGTGCGATCCAGAAAAAGCCAAGAGCGGGGGGCCGTCTGTACAGAGCCTCAGCACTCACCTTAAGCAGGAAAAGGAGGAGGAGAGGAGGAGGAAGAAAAAGAGGAGGAGGAGAGGTGGAAGAATAAGAGGAGGTGGAAAAAGAAAAGCAGAAGAAGAGGAGGAGGAAGAGGAAAGAGGAAGATGAGGAGAAGAAGAGTTAGAAGAAGAGGCGGATGAAAAAGAGGAAGAACAGGAGAAGAGTTAGAGGAGAAGGAGGAAGAGGAGGATCAGGAGAAGAAAAGGAAAAAGAGATAGAAGAAGACTTAGAAGAAGAGTCGGATGAAGAAGAGGAAGAACAGGTGAAGAGTTAGAGGAGAAGGAGGAAGAGGAGGATCAGGAGAAGAAGAGGAAGAAGAGATAGAAAAAGAGGAGGAGAATGAAGAAGAGGAAGAACAGGAGAAGAGCTAGAGGAAGAGGAAGAGATAGAAGAAGAGGAGGATGAAGAAGAGGAAGAACAGAAGAAGAGATAGAAGAAGAGGAGGATAAGAAGAAGAGGAAGAACAGAAGAAGAGATAGAAGAAGAGGCGGATGAAGAAGAGGAAGAACAGGAGAAGAGTTAGAGGAGGAGGAGGAAGAACAGGAGAAGAAGAGGAAGAAGAGATAGAATAAGAGGAGGATGAAGAAGAGGAATAAGAGTTAGAATAAGAGAATATGAGTTAGAAGAAGAGGAGGATGATGATGAAGAAGAACAGGAGAAGAGTTAGAGGAGGAGGAGGAAGAGATAGAAGAAGAGGCACAGATAGAAGAAGAGGAGGGGGATGAAGAAGAAGAGGAAGAACAGGAGAAGAAGAGATTGAAGAAGAGGAGGAGGATGAAGAATTGGAAGAACAGAGAAGAAGAGGCAGATGAAGAAGAGGAAGAACAGGAGAAGAGTTAGAGGAGGAGGAAGAACAGGAGAAGAAGAGGAAGAACAGGAGAAGAAGAGACAGAAGAAGAGGTGGATGAAGAAGAGGAAGAACAGGAGAAGAGTTAAGGAGGAAGAGATGAAGAAGAAGAAGGGAGAAACAGGAGAGAAGAGAAGAAGAAGAGGAGGATGAAGAAGAGTTAGAAGAAGAGGCGGAGGAGAAAGAAGAAGAAGAACAGGAGAAGAGTTAGAGGAGGAGGAGGAAGAGGAAGAACAGGAGAAGAAGAGGAGGAGGATGATGAAGAAGAAGAACAGGAGAAGAGTTAGAGGAGGAGGAAGAACAGGAGAAGAAGAGGAAGAAGATAGAAGAGGAGAAAGAAGAAAAGATGAGGAAGAAGAAGGAACAGGGAGGAAAAACATATTGATACCATGCTTTTCTTTTCCAAAGTGCCTCAAACGAGAGATTCCAGGCCAGGCATGGGTCAACTTGGGCCCTCCCTCCAGGTGTTTTGGACTGCAACTCCCACAATTGTGGGAGTTGCAGTCCAAAACACCTGGAGGGAGGGCCCAAGTTGGCCCATGCCTGATGCAGGGCCACCCAGCCTGAGAGTGACCCCAAACCCGGTTCTGAGCCCCAAACGCCGGGCGCAGAGCTCTCACCACGTGCCCAACCGCCGTCCCCTTCCTCAGCCCACGCCAGCATCTTGTTTTGATTTTGTTTTCATCTCCTCGCTCAAATCTTGTAAACAGAAACGCTGATTATTTTCCTTTTCGGATTCTCCCTCCCTTGGCCTTCTCCCTCGAAATCGTTTCCATCTGCTGCTGCTGCCGACGCCGCACACGAAAAATGGCCTGCCACATGCCTTCCGCTCCCCCCCAAAAAGGAAGGAGGAGAATCAAGCGGCTTCTCAAGACTTGAGCGAAGTTTTCTCTCTCGGAAACGGCGGAGACGGAGGCCAGAAAAGGCGCAGAACCCGGCGTGCCGGCCAAGGCGTCCCAACCAGAGCCGTGTCGGAAGGAACTCGGAAATCGACTCGGAAATCGACTCGGAAATTGGATGTACCATTCGTCAACTCGGGCTCGGCTTTGGCCCGGGCCAGACCCACATACAGACATAAGACTCCTGAGTTAGCATCCCGTAAACAAGGCAAGGTTGGAAGGAGCGCCTGAAAGGTTGGAAATGTTACATGGCGGGAGCCTAGACATACCAGGCTCCCGTCGGCCCTTTGTGGCCCGGGATTTATAGTCTTGCCCCTCTGTTGTGCTTTCCTTCCCTCTTGCCATCCCCATACACATGTCACTTTTCTTTCCCTGTGACATCTCAGATGGCCACTTCACCCTATCAAGTCGGTCCTTCGCCTAGCAAGTGCCGCCCCAGTGACATCACCGAGGGCCACTTCATCCTATCAAGTCAGTCCGTCTAGCAACAGTCGCCCCAATGACATCACAGGGGGCCACTTCACCCTATCAAGTCAGTCCGTCTAGCAACAGTCGCCCCAATGACATCACAGATGGCCACTTCCCCCTATCAAGTCGGTCCGTCTAGCAACAGTCGCCCCAGTGACATCACCGAGGGCCACTTCACCCTATCAAGTCAGTCCGTCTAGCAACAGTCGCCCAGTGACATCACCGAGGGCCACTTCACCCTATCAAGTCAGTCGGTCTAGCAACAGTCGCCCCAGTGACATCACAGGGGGCCACTTCCCCCTATCAAGTCGGTCCGTCTAGCAACAATTGCCACAGTGACATCACCGAGGGCCACTTCACGCTATCAAGTCGGTCCGTCTAGCAACAGTCGCCCCAGTGACATCACCGAGGGCCACTTCACCCTATCAAGTCAGTCCGTCTAGCAACAGTCGCCCCAATGACATCACAGGGCCACTTCCCCCTATCAAGTCAGTCCGTCTAGCAACAGTCGCCCCAGTGACATCACAGGGGGCCACTTCCCCCTATCAAGTCGGTCCGTCTAGCAACAGTCGCCCCAGTGACATCACAGAGGGCCACTTCACCCTATCAAGTCAG